AAAAAAAAAAGTGAGCGAAATAATACATATACATATATACGTGTGTAATGTGTGTTAACCCGAAGAAAACGCTAAAAAATGAGTGCTAAAATTTACGAAAAGTGCGCGAAAATTGTATACATTTTTAAATTGGGAAAATTCCCATCAAAAAAAAACGAAACAAAAGGTCATTTGAATTGCAGAAAAGTGCGCGAAATTGTGACTTATATATGTAAGTTGAGACCCATGTAATGTGGAAAAATTCATATAATAGTGAAACGGTAAAAGTGAAAGTTAGAGAAGTGAAGTGGCCAAGTGGTAGCGCAGGTAGTTGCGGAGCCTAAGCGTAAAGCGCCCACTAGTGATGTGAAATTGACCTGGGATTGCAGCGACACTCAGGTAGTGTCATTTAGCAAAGCGCAATCCCAAAAACTTGTTAGAGCGCCAGGAGCAAGACCCACGCCAATGCCCATTCCAAGGCCCGATGTGCAGCAAGGCACAAACCAACGGCCCACTGTGCATAGAGTAGTATAAAGCAGAGCGAAGGGTAAGTACACTGCTTTCCAATTTTCTCTGGCATATATACAAATATATATAAACTTGAAAAAAATTTGTTTGGAATAATATTTCGTACTTTTTGCTGAATTTTATATTTTGACTTTAAGCTCCGAAAGCATTAAGCACCAAATATAAGCTTGAAAGATTTTTTTTCCATTCGTAAGCGCATCGGACCGAAATTAAGTCCAGCTTGTAGACTCAAGCTTTTAATTTAAAAGAAGATTTTGACAAAAACATTTCACAGAAAAATGGCAAATACGAGAGATGTGGCAGGAGCATCAGAAATGCGGTCAGCAAAATTTAGGTACCAGGATTGTTACTTAGCATACTTGACGTGTGCGGCATTAATGAAAGAAGCAATCCACAATCTTACGTTTGTTCAGCGATGTTAATCGATAATAAATCCCATCGTACGAGAGATGGTTACGTCGAGTATGAATCTACCCTCGTGTGACACCGAAACTTTTTAAGGGGATTATATGGCATGTTTATCTTTCCGCGATCTATATTAATATTTGCGTGTACGTCTGGGGGGGAAATTGTGCTAACTTATACAAAAAACTCGTAGGGAGACAAGAGATATTGTTATAAAAAAAAAAAAAAAAAAAAAAAAAAAAAAAAAAAAACCCACTGACCAATGAAGGATTTGCTGTTCGGTCTTTATGAAAATAAGCGAATAATGGTCAACAACTAATTGAATAGGCTCTTCAATTTACCGTAAGTAATGAATGAGCGTGATACCGAAATAAAAAATCTGCGACGCGCAGTGAACAATTGTATCACAGTTTTGCAAATGTACGAAATTGAACTGGGATGCAATATTCATGTTCTTGGTATCAAGCAGATTTAAAGACACTACTCAAGTTTTTTGGGAACAAGGTAACATAAATCATAAATAAGGACTGAAATCCGAGGCGGGTGGAATTAGTTCAGTTCCCTACCAAAAGATTCCAAACTTTAAAGTCTGTATACATACATCTTCCGTCAACGGAATAGGAGAAAAAGAAAATATGCATAAACTGCTGATATTAGTGTTATGTTTTGTAAATAAGAATGCTCATAGATTAGTCACTATCACGGTTTACATATATGTTTATAACTGTTTTGTTAACTTATTTTTGTTCTCAAAACATTCATGTTTGAAAATATTTTAAGTTAAAAATTCGGTAACATAAAAATTGAAATGTTGAAAATAGCAAGTTACAAATGTTGAAGTAGATCCTACAGACTGTTTACCATTAAAACAAGCCTCACATAAATCATTGTTAGGTTGCACATTGTTTAAAAGATGATCTTCATTGAACATATTGGGTGAGTTCCAAAACGTCAAAATATTTTGTAATGATGCAAAGTCTTACATTTTTGGACGCTTTTCTTGCAAATTCATAAGTTGTTTTCGGTGAAATGGCTAAAATATAAAACAGATCAAAAAAAACAAGTAAAATAATATTATATTTAAAAAAATAATTAGCGCAAAATACTTACCCTCCGACGTCGGCCTTTGTAGTTAAGATTTTATAATAAAATAAAGCATCACAAACCTTAGCGATGCGCAGTTTGCGCATCTATAGCTTTACCGATATATTATGGTTTGTTAGTTTGCAACTGATTTTTCGGAACTCATCCAATCTTTCTTAAATATAAAAAAAAAATTCTCTACTAAGATGTCCAAACCTCTCATGCCACAATCGATACTTAATATTATATACACATATATTGCAATATAAAATGTCAAATTAATATATGGAATGCCATAAATACCTTTTTTTAAACCACTTTTTCAATGGTCATCCTAGAGTCTTTCATCTTTCTAACAGAAAGTAGATTTTCCGGAATATTACTTTACCATTCTTTGTTGCGTACACGTATTCACCTTACTTTGCAACAGGGATTTCTAATAGCGGTTCGAATCCAATACATACATTCCTTGAACTCGCTGTCATCATTTATAAAGCTGTCAGAGGCATTAAATTCTAGAATGAAAGATACGGCGCTACGTCTCGGCACATCACTATCCTATCATGAGCGCGAGTTCCCTATCCTGTTGAGCAACTGCAATTTGAACCGTTCTTGCTCCTTCGTAACCTTGGTTCTTTAAAACCTTTTTGTATGCGTAGAAGTCCTTTTTAATGTGCCTCATTTTTCCGAAATGCTGGCACTTTAGCTTCTTTTTTAAATTTCTTTTGAAATATTTATGCTTGTATTTATTTCTCCGTACAAACTTTTACACTTGCACCGATTTTTAACAAATGCTATTAATAAATGTCTTCATTTATTACTTTATCATAAGATGATGGCAAAGTAAAAAGCAAATTTGATACTTTATCCATGAAATCGATCTTAGCTCTCGAAGTAACAGTTTAGTCATCAAATTATCAAATATATCAAAAAGTAAATAATTGTAGTTGTGATTCATTTTCACATTCTTTCTTGTAGCTGCGTTTCGTTCTTATATCGTATCCAAATTTTTGAAAATTTTGTTTAGCAAAACCAAGAAAAGAGTCACTCAGGAATTAATTAATCAAACTTTTTGCGTTTCTTTCAGTTTTCTTCCATACTTCATCAGAATTCTCCTTCGCATTTTCGTCTTTTGCGTCGTTTTCAGCTAGAAGTGGTCTTACTCGAAACTTCCAGATTCCATATTTCTCTCCACAGAAAGGAGCAGTATTTCGCTTTACTTTATCTATGCTTCTTTCATTTAGTTCTGCTGTTGGGTAAGATGTAAGCTGGTCACATAAACTATTCACAAACAGTTTCGAAGAAAAACAGCCAAGTCCAATTTCCTTTGAATGTTCATTTTCCTTAGTAAGTTTCATACTCATACAACATATTCAAGTATAGAATAAACATAAAATAAAGAAATTTTTCCAGTTTTACAAGTTCGTTTCACATTAAAGCTTATACATTCACAAAATTTAATAGTTGTTAATCACGAATTTTGTGAGTGAACATGGATCAATGAAAACGGCAGTGATATATTTTTTTAAAAACACTCCTGCAAATCTTATATTATCATACCGCACCGCGCATAAATCTCCCAGCCGTAATAGAGGCGCATAGCAAAATAAACAAGCGCAAAATGATTCACTAATTTCAAATTAAAAAAAATTAACGCATATGTCGTATCCATGTAGTTTAATTTGAATAAATCTTTCTTAATTTGATATGGTATGTCTCATTGACCGCAACAGCCATTCGGTAGATCACGGTTTGAGTGCTGAGGGTCCCTCTTTGCAGTGAATGCATTTCCGAGGGGAATTGAAAGAAAAGCTCCTAATAAAAATCCATCCTCTGTTCGGAGAATAAATTGTACGTCCGTGCATTTGTTGGAAAAACATCAAGACGCAAACCACAAACTGCAAGGGATCAAACCGCCAATTATATCTCATACTTACGCCAAATTTTCGGTGAGCCCTGGAACTACGAAGATGACATAGACGTTACATTAACCAACTATGGCTGTTAAAATAACGCCGGGAAAGAAGAATGCACGCATCAGAGCATACCATATTATTGAAACATCAGTGAGTTCTGCTTCATCTAGTTATTTCTAGAGTATTGTGGGGACAACCAATATTAACGTAGGCTAACGAACACTAATCAGGGCGCTGGAGACTAGCCAGACGTAGTCGAAGAAGTTATAAGCCAGCAAAAATACCGTCCTCAGGACCGTTACAAAAAAAAAAACTCTAATGTCGACAGAACATCCCTTGCAAAGCGAAGCATCCATTTTACAAGTCAAGGAGCATAATGTTTTGCTGTGCATGCAATTTCTGCTGGAATGCTAAAGTAGGGAGCACCACAACCCAAGCACATCAGAAAGGTAGTACGCGACCTTAAGATTTGTAATCGGTAACACCTACAACTACCGCTAGACGGGACGGCTTACCGACAGGCATTAAGCGCCATTACTCAGAGTCGGGTAACACCTTCTTGACCTCTTCAGTGAATGGCGTTTTCGGAGTCAAACTGCCACAACTCGGCTCTGGATAATGAAGCAAATTAAACTGCTACTGAACCAGCCTAAACTCCCGACATACCTTTAATATGTCCTGCATGGAACGAGTTCCCAAATGACACAACTTACCTCTCCCTCTGGTCCGAAACCGTCGAAACAGCTCGTTTCCTCAACCTCTAGTTAGAAATGCTTCAACAACAACTACAACAGGGTATTGACAGGTTTTCAACGCCATTCACTGAGAGTCGGGAACACCTTCGTAAGCTCTTTCTAGATCACCTCGATAACTTGTCTCGTCTGTTCCTAAGCAGGGTAAGAGAACCGCTATAACCAAAAATAAAAAACAGTGCCAGCTTTTAGATCTGATGCGGAATCACTCCCACAGCTGTGACTTTAGGTTGAGTAGGAAAAATTTAAGTAGCTGAAAATTGAAAAAACTAAAAAATAATAATAATAACAAAAAAAAAAAAAAAAAAAAAAAAAAAAAAAAAAAAAAACAATAACATTTAGTATACCATACCGACCGACTTTATATTTTTATGAATGAGTTTACTTTGCAATTAACACTATCATGGTAGCGCATCTGATAATTTACAAACACTATAAAATTTGAACTAAAATAAAAACAAATAACTTATAATTATACCTTTCAACATTAAGTAAATTGAAAGCTGTCGTTGCGTAAAGAAATTTTCATAAATAATTATGCTATTTATTTTACTTTTTTTGTTCTTTCCTCTGATAGCGGACATGTTAATTCCGATTCACTAAGTACGCTGTCCTCGACAACCATTGGCAAAGTTGGAATTGATTGAATTGAGTCCACTCCAAAAAAGCTATTTAAAGCATTGTTTTGAGAAGCTGGCATGTCAAAGTTTTGCTCTGCACTAATTTCTACATAAGTTGGCTTTATTTCTTCTTTGGGCGTCAAGGAATCGAATACCTCACAGGTATGTGTAATTTGAGGCCAATTTTTGAAGTACTGTAAATCATATTCCACATGGATATATCTTCGTTTCGAATTTTGCATGTTTGTTTCGCGTCGAATCTGCACTTTTTCAAAGAGTAAATATTCCACTATGAAGTTTTCAACAAAGACATGCGTAAAAAAGTTGGCTACACCATATAACAACATCAAGTAACGGAAAGTGGAATCTTCTGGTACGATTAGTTGGAAAAATTCACTTATCCAATCGGTAGGATATACGACTAAATAGCAGACTATAGCAATATTTATGATTAATGAAAGACAGAAAGGTATATTAGACCAAATCGATTTGCGATATGGTGCTCCTTTCGAAAATACAAATGCAAGTTGTGAGGAACTTGTGTCTTGATTCGAAAATACAAATGCAAGTATTATGTATTGAAAGCTTGATATCGCGAACATAGTGTAGTTTTCGTAACAACCCAAGTGATCCTCATCCTTGTGCTTGAAAGGAACGAACCAGTCCTGTTGATGCAAGTGAAACCAGCCTAGGAAATAAGAAATTATTTAGTTTTATTATTATTATTTTTTTTGGAGAGTGGCGATAAGCAATTGTTTTAAATTGAATTTAAAATTAATGCAAATAACTTCTTTTTTCAAAGCTCTTATTTCAACCATTAAAACTGACCTTCTTCTTGATTGGCACAGGCACCACTTTCACGATTATATCAAACCAGTTTAAGACCTGTAAAGCTAATGTTGGTTGCATCAAGCGTTTACTACACATTAATTAAGTATCTCCACGCTCATTGAATTCAAACAAACATTGATTTCAGATACGAAATTTCCACAAAAAACAGAGCTCAAACATTGCGGGAAGTGGGCAATTAAGACGGCTGAAAATATTCTCATGCAATACCCGAACGAAATTTTTATTATTTTCAATAAAACGAATACCCATAATTTATATGCTAAGCAAAACTTGATAAGTAAATCTGCCAAACAATTAATAAGTAAAGGATTTTTAGGCGTGTAGTTTACAACCAGACAATCGATTTCTTTGGTAGCTATTACTTGACTTACACTAAGTTTTGATTGCTATTTCTTAATGAACTTTTTACTAAGCTACTGGTTCGGTGTGCGAAGCTCACTTTTTGGTTGAATATGTTTGTTAAAAAAAATTTTCGCATTTTTAGTGAAGATAAACCACGCGCCCTTGTTGACACACCTTCAAAATCACTGTTTGGTATACTCTATGGCCAGTGGGAATCATTGGACCATATTTCTTCAAAAATTAAGCTAACAAGACGGTCCTACATATCAAACTTTTGGCGAGCTTATTATTTCACGTCGTGGGCCTGTGGCGTTGCTTTTAAGATGCAACATTGCTGGACAACTTTTTGTGGGGTTATGTGAAGTCACTTATCTACGCAGATAAGCATGCGATTGACCCCTTGGAAGAGAATATTTATCGTATTATTGTTAACATACGGTTAATGGGGCCTATCACCTGGAATTTATTCGGACCGGTCACGACTTTCACTTGCCCGAAATCAGTTGTATATATTGTGCATAATGCCAAGTCCTAGTCTTCGTAATAAAGCTAAACTCGTGGCGTTAACATCAAATTGTATGCATTTTAATTCTTTTAGAAAACCACTTTATATAAGGTTGTCAAATATCTCCCTTCCGCTTTTTTGCTCTTCATTCAATGCTTTATAAAAAGTGTTACAGTGATCGGATTAAGTTAAAATATGCGTCGTTTTGTTCGATGATCTGTTTCCATCTAGACGGCAACTTCATAATACCTTCCTCGTAGAAGCCCCCCTCTTTATTAGCGAAGAATTCGGACAGCCACTTTTCACAAGCCTCTTTTGAGTTCAACACCAAGGGCATTCGCCATGGACTGGAACAGGTGGTAATCACTTGGCGCTACGTCCGGGCTATATGGTGGGTGCGTCCGAGCTCCCGTAGCTTCTGACGAGTCGTCAACGAAGTGTGTGGTCTGGCGTTGTCCTGGTGGAACACTACACCCTTCCTGTTGGCCAATTCTGGACGCTTCTGGTCGTTCGCCTGCTTCAAGCGGTCCAGTTGTTTGCAGTAGATGGTAGAATTAAGCGTCTGGCCATATGGGAGCAGCTCATAGTGGATGATTCCCTTCCAATCCCACCAAACACACAGCAAAACCTTCCTGGCCGTCAATCCTGGCTTGGCCACTGTTTGGGACGATTCACCGGCCTTCGACCACGACCGTTTTCGCTTGATATTGTCGTATGTGATCCATTTTTCGTCTCCAGTCACCATCCGCTTCAAGAATGAGTCGAGTTCGTTCCGTTTCAGCAGCATATCGCAGGCGTTGATTCGGTCCAGAAGGTTTTTTTGCGTCAAATTATGCGGCACCCAAACATCAAACTTTTTTTGTATCCAACCTTCTGCAGATGGTTCAAAATGGTTTGGTGACTAGCTCCCATCTCCTGGGCGATATCACGAGATGCCATATGCCGGTGTAACTCGATGTATTCCATGATTTGATCGGTATTTGTCGTCACAGGTCTTCCGCCGGATGGCTTATCCATGATGTCGTTTTCACCGGCTCTGAATCGTCGAACCCATTTCTTCGCGGTTCGAAGTGATAGAGTACCATCCCCCAAAACACCATTAATCTCATGGAACGTTTCTCTAGTGGATTTGCCTTTAACGAAGTAAAACTTTAAAATAGCGCGAATTTCGGCGTTAGTGAACTCCATGTTTACACGTCTATAACTGTTGAACGCAATATTCAAACTAATCATGCATAGAGTTGTTTTGTAGGCTATGTCAAGACCTTTCAAATTATGTATAGTTTTGCCAGATACGAGCTCTGTAGCGCTTTGTATATAGCCGCGAAATTCAAAAGACAAAAAAGCGGAAGGAAGATATTTGACAACCTGATATAATGATAAAAGTGCACTTACCAGCAGTTTGAAATCCTATTACAACAACTAAATGCAAACTTATTGATGCCAAAGGAGCCAGTGAGATTAGCGAGCTTAACGGAACTTGTTTAGCCAGATGTCCAACATGTGCTTCCGTTTTACCGAAGAAAAATGCGAAAACAGATATGAGCCCCAAATCGACATACAAATATTGTTTATCCGTTAAGTTAGAGTCAATGGAGTACAAAATCATAACTGATATAAATTGTACCATGGAATAGGCAGCCATATATTTGAATATGCCAAATGATGTGACAAGCGCAGCTCTTCCTTCTTTGATGACGTTTGGCACACATTGGATTGTTGAACTACGAGATGTAAATGGAGAGGCAATTGCAGATTCGGTTTCGCTTAGTGAAATACCAGTATGTGCCACCTTTAACGCACCACAGTCATTTGCACCATCCCCGCACATAGCAACACAGTAGTCCAGTTGTTGAAGTTCCATAACCAGTGCTTGTTTTTGTTCAGGAGACATGCGTGCAAAAATAGCTCCACGCACAACGAAGTTTTTGAGCTCATCAGGGAAGTTTTCCTTTACAATTTGCCATGTTCTTCCAATCATAGCAAATCTGAAATTTCTTCTCCACCCTGTCTTTACTTCACTTCTTGGCAAATGATTTCGATCTGATTTTTCTTTTTTAGGGACGACTAAGCCCAGTTCTGGATCTTGATGTGTCCACGTTTCACACGTTTCAATACTCACTAAACTATTACTATTCGGTAAGGTCGTTGAGATACTACTTAAAGACGCCAAATCTCCATTAATTTTTTTGTAACATTCATCGACGTTGCAAATAGCTGCAGCCGAATTGATAACTGAAGATTCCACTGAAAGGACTTCAGTACCGTTTGATAATTCTTTGGCAGATTCCTCACAGTTTCCCAATTCAAGTGTATAATAAAGCTCGTATTTATAATCCTCTTTTACTTGTAGTTGTCTTACGTTAACAGTTACAACTGCTTGCTCCGGTGAAACAATTCCACAATCTCTTGCAACACTAATCGCGGTCAACAGATTATCTCCAGTTATCATAATAGTTCGAATGTTCGCTGCAGTTAAAGTTCGAATCACTTCACTTGTATCACGTTTCAATCGGTTTTCCATTACAACGAAGCCAAGAAACTCAAGATCACTTTCAACATTTTCACGAGCAAAACGTTGCGCTTTAATGTAACTCATTTTACGACTTAGTGGTTTATAAGCCATAGCTATAATGCGATATCCACGTTTTGCAAAGAATGCTAATTGTTGGGAATAATTTTCTGGTAAGCTATTAGGCTGGCAAAGTTGTTGTAACATCTCTGGGGAGCCTTTGCAATAGACATTAAAATTTGCATCACTAAGCCGTCGAGTAATAACAGACATCCGCTGCAAATTCGAAGTGAAGGGGAATTCTCGGACTATACCATGATCGTTGTTTGTTTCGCCATTAAGAAGACCAACATCAGCTAATAAATCATCAAGTGAAGATTGGCGTTGAACTGGGGTTTCTATTTCGGTTGATTCATTAGGACTCTTTTCTATTAAGAAAAAATCCATAAATTCATAGAAAAATATTTAAAAGAAAAAAACCGCTGCATTACCTTTTCTTGGTTGACGCACAATGGTAGGATGAATTAAACCATATTTTTGACTATCTGGTATATTTTTTTGATCTTCGAGAATCCACCCAGTGGACTCGAACATTTTTAAGTCTAGTGGATCACCCATGAGTTTTCCATTCATTATAGTTATAGAATGGCACGTTACCATTCCAAACAAAAAGTTATCATAAGGTAAACGTTCAATTTGTTTGATAGGCATTTGAAATTCATTTGTTACAGTTTTAGGAACCACACCCCACATATCCAAACCTTCTTCCGTTAGGGTGCCCGTCTAAAATATTCAAAATAAGTACATTGAAATTTATCATGAATGGCCTGACATAATATAAATATACCTTATCGAAGCAGCAACAGTCAATACTGCCGGCAACATTAATGGATCGTGGTGAAATGCAATATATATTTTGTTTCTCTAGACGCTTTTGAGCGTAAAAGCGACCAACGGACATAGCAGCCGGCAGAGCGGGTGGTACAACAATGGTTATTAAATCCAATGATTCTACAGCTATTTTGACGGCATCAATATTTCGCAGTATCTGAAAGAAAATAGATTAGCATTTTGCTAAAACATATGATTGAGAATAGAAGATCAATGAATAAAAAAAGAGCATAAATAGAAAATTATCTTCAAAAGAAACATATGGTAGAAGGCCATTTTTAAGTAGTCAGATTTGGCGAAGATTTTTGGTAGATGCGCGTGAAAATGGTAATACTAATAGTGGTTTTTAAGTGCAAACTTTAAAAGCCACAAAGAGCAGTGTATTGCAGTTATAATTCCTTTTTGACAATTCCTCTAATGCCGCTTCCACTCTATTATTAATGGGTACTTCCATATACAAAATTATATTAAACATTTTTGTAGTTTTATCTAGCCTATAATTTAAAGAAGTAGGTTTACTTTAAAAGCAATGTTTCGAATTTCAACTTATTTTCAATAAACATGAATTCGTTCAAACGAATGAAATCTCTTCCAATTTATTTCAACTAGATCGTTATAAAACGAGCCTTCACAAAGATAGCAACCGCTCCCCCCTGCGGGTTGGAGGTTCAGGGTAAAGCATGCGTGTCGTAAGAGGCGACTTAAATCCAATAGTTTCCGCGACAGTCGGGCCTTTATACCGGAGCGACCCGGATTTTTATCCGGGCAAGGACTGTCACTCTCGTAACATCCCCAAAAAGTACTTTGGGAAACATTTCTGTGGTTGCAACAACAACAACAACATAGCAACCGCTTTAGTAACAGCATAAATGCTGTTACTTACTTTACTGGCGTAGACACCGCTTACACGATTATAGCCGATTTACAACAGTGCGCCATTCGTTTATTCTTTTTGCTGTTTTGCGCTAACACCAAGAGCAGTCCGGTCCTTCCCTACCTGGTCTTTCCAAGTTAGTGCAGGTGATGGCGCGTTGGATTTCAAGAACTGACGGTATAATTGGTGTCAATGCTGGTTCTTGATAGACTCAATTACCTACGACTTCAAAGTTATGACTGTCAACAGTGAGTGGGAGCCAAGTCGCGAATGCAATGACTGTTTGTTTGATGACAAGAGATATTTCGTCTTGTCCTTGCTCACTAGCAGACCCATTCGATTGTTGTTGTTGTTGTTGTTGTAGCGGATTCGCTAACCCCGCTTAGGCACAGGCTTGAGTTAGTCTAAGTCGTCGAGGTCATCTAAGGGTAGGCCCAGGAAACAAGCTGTTTCGACGGGGTTGGACCAAAGGGAGAGGGGTGTTAGATGAGTAGGTTTGAGGGGGCATGTGAAGAGGTGGTTAGTGTCGTGCGGGGACTCTCCACATGCCGGGCATACGTTAGGTATGCTGGGGTCTAGTCTGGATAGGTAGGAGTTTAACCTACTACAATATCCAGACCTAAGTTGTGTCAGGGTCACGCTGGTCTCTCGAGGCAGCTCGAGCTCGTTGTCTGCTATGGGTGGTGGTATTTCTCCGAGTACGCCATTCACTGGAAGGGAGTTCATGAAGGTGTTAACTGACTCCTGGTGAATGGCGTTCAGTGC